CACGCTGTCTCCCCCAAGTTCATGGGAAACGCATGCATCCCACTGAGTGCTCCCCCAGGCTGGCGGGCCTCGTGATCTCATGGCTCTGACTCAGCTCCCTGGAGTCTTGCCCACCTGGCCCTCGTGATGGGCATGGAAGTCATTTAGAAGGGTTTCTGGCACCTCATAACAACTGTGCAAGCAAGTGTTAGCCACGATCACCCATAGTGCACATTCCTTAGAGGCAGAGGCTGGCCACACTTGTAAGAGCCCAGCTTGGCCCAGCCTTTGGTTCCACTGACAGTCACTTGGGAGTGGAGGGGGCTGTGCAGCAGGACTCCACGTCTAGGCTCATAGGTGCCACAGAGAATGTGGATCCGGGCTCCGTGCCTGAGGCTTCTGAGACCAGGTGATGGGAGCGATTTGGAGTTAAGGAAGACCGGTTCATCACGGGTGATGAGGGGGTTCTTCTTCATGCTCAAGGAAAGCCTACGGAGTCGGAGGTGAGGGCCTGGAACTCGCTGGAAAATGTAGGCCAATGGTTCTTACTCTTGAACTTACATCAGAGTCACTGGAAGGTTTGTCCCGCTCAGTACGAGAGTGGATACCAGTGTTCTGCACAGTCGGCACCTCCCGTGCTGCTTCCTAGGATGACCTCCTCCCTCCTTCTGATGCCTGCCTCCCTGCTCTCCCTCAGATCCACCGAGCCTCTTCCCGCTTCTATAAGACTCCCTCCTGAAATACTGCGTATCTGACTCACGGCTTTCAAGTCTCTTCCCAGATACCACCTCTTCAGAGTGGCTCCCTGGAACAAAGAGCTTAGAAACCTCACCCTTCAGACTCCTGGTGTCTGATCACTGGTCTCTTCTGCCCACAGAAACAATAAGTTCTATGAAAATACAACTATTTGAAGGCAAAGCAAAGTGACAAAAAGCAGAAACTGGCTGTGGGGTAAGCGATAGAGAAAGGAACCATGTGGGATAGAAGTGCTATGCCCCAGCCTTCTCTCGAGGGCCCTCCCTGGTCCCCGTAATTTCAGGAGAGCTTTGCTCAAGCCGAAGGAGGCTGTTTTAGCAGGTCGAGGATTTGGAGTCAGAGATCTAGGCTACAGAGCAGTGGGGGTGACCTGGAAAATCCTGAAAGTGAGGTAGCCATGTGGGGAAGCCCCCAAAGCTGCTTGTCCCAGCCTCCCCTGTCCTTGGCTGACTGCCGGTCTGAACATGCATGAGGCCAACTTCTCAGTGCCGAGAGGCTCCTGGAGTTCAAGTGCGATCATTTAGATGGCTCTGGTAAGCATGTCAGGCTTTCTACTGAAACCCCGGGAGACCCAACCGTTGAGTAAAAGGACTGAAGTTATGCCCTAGGATTAAGGACAGGGGCCACCTTAACAAGCCTGGTCCCAGAGCTGCCAGCACAAAGCTCTACTCTCTTCCGAGGAAAAGCAGGGGGTCCAGAGTCTCTGTGACATGATATCACAATGTCTCGCACAGAACCAAGGTTTACTAGACACACAAAGGAAGGAAACTGTCACCCCTGATCAAGAGTGAAAAAGTCAATAGAAACAAATGAACAAATGAAAATCAATAGAAACAAATGAACAGTGCCTCAGATGTTAGCACTTATAAGCACAGGCTTCAAAATAAATATATGTTATATAATATATGAGATAAGATGGATGTAATGGCTGAAGAAATGAGGGATTTCAAAAGAGATCAGGAAACTCTGAGAAATTAAACAACTGTAAATATCATAAATAAAAATTGTAGTATCTGACCAGAACAAGAGGAGCTTCTCACGGTGACAGAGGCCAGAGGGCCACAGAAGGCTGTCCGAGATGCTGAGAGACAGAAAGTCTTCACCTAGAATGCATTTCTAGCAAAACCACAATTCAAACATGAAAATGCAGTAAGGCAACTCTCCCAATCATCGAAAGCTGAGAATTTCCTGCCTGCAGACTGACCTTCCCTGAAACGAAGAAGAAAGTTCTTTGGGACTGATGGGAAATGGTACCAAACGGAAATGCAGCAGAGATGGTAAATATGTACCAAACACTTTTCCCCTCTTTTCCAAAGGCTGTTAAAAGTCCATTGAATTTTTAAGAGAAAAATACCAGAAATGCATTGTGGGGCTCATAACGTTCATAGCAGCAGAATCTGTAATAACTGCAGGAAAAAGGATCGCGGATGGTCCGTCTGTGATCTGTGACCTGGCATCACAGACGCCCCAGGGGAACATGATCAGTTATTTATGATGCCCCAGGGAATCCCTGCACAACCCCTGAATGCAGAACAGAGAGAGAGAGGGAGGGAGGGAGAGAGAGGGAGGGAGAGAGAGGGAGGGGGAGGGAGAGAGAGAGAGGTGGGGGGAAGGAGGGAGAGAGAGAGCGAAAGAGTCGAGGCAGAGAGAGCATGAAACACCAAGAAAAGCAGGCCATCCCGAAGAAAGCTGGGCGAGCGAGGACAAAGGAGGAACAGCAACTAAAGACCCAGAGGGTAAACAGAGCACAGCGCCCCCCGCCCCCGGTCAAATGTCGCGCTAAACGTAAGGTAGGGAGGCCGCGGGAAGTGGGGCTGGTCGGCACGGAGGGAGGAAGCAGGGTCCGGGGATGGGCCGCCTGCAAAACATGCACTCCAAGGGCACGATCACGAGCATGAGCGGGCGGAAAAGCAACACCGTACAAGCGGTGACCTTGCAAATGCCTCCTGGGTAGTCTCGGTGACGTGTTCCGTGTGCTCAGTGGTGGCCGCTTCCCTCCCCCCACCCTACTCACCCCTGTCACATAACCCAGTCGCCTTCCTCACCCTTCCCAGGGGTCAGCCGGGGCGCAGTACTGGCCCCCCCCACGGAAGGGGGCGAAGGGGAGGCCTCAAGCTGCCCCTGCAGGGTCCTCCATGCTTGTCTGGAGTGAACATGACCCTCTGGATGGGGGCCCCACGTGGAAGGTGGCAGAGATGGCTGTGGGAGGGGCGTGGGTCCCCCAGTCCCTCCGGGAGGAGAGGCGCCCAGCCGGAGCACTCGCAGGGGGCTGATATCGCTGCTCTGTGTGCAGCCACGGAGATTTCAGGTGTCTCCCGTTTCCACCTGATTAACCATTAATGATAGGCTGTGGGCGTGTCCTTCTGGGTGTCCATTGCTTTCTCCAATTATATCACATTATGGGGCCCCTCAGTCGTTGAGCCTCTGACTTCAGCTCAGGTCATGATCTCACTGTTCGTGGGTTCAGGCCCCGCGTCGGGCTCTGTGCTGACAGCTCAGAGCCTAGAGATGCTTCGGATTCTGTGTCTCTCTCTCTCTCTGCTCCTCTTCCACTCATGTTCTGTCTCTCTCTCTCTCAAAAATGAATACATGTTTTAAAAAAAACCTAAAAATTGTATCATATCACATTGTTATGTATTTGTCTGTCTGCCTCTTTGCTGCCTTCCCAAGAGTGTACTGACCTGTGCACTTTGTCACCACTGTGTCACGGGGCACAAAGCGGTGCCTGGCACTTAGTAGGTGCTCACTAAATATCCCTCCTCTCTCTTGCTTGTGAGGCCAGCACAAGTGGGAGCCACATCCTGGTGCACCAGCTTGGGAAATGCTTGACAGGAACCAACAGTGACCGGCTTCTGGAAACTTCTGGAAAGTTCTGGAGCAGGGAGCACCAAGGCAAGGAAGCCATGACAGGACTTCTGTTTTGATCCTCGTGCCCGAATGGATCGTTGGGTTACCACCGAGTAGTCTTTCTGCTGCAGCCGGGAGCCTCCCTCGGGCAGGTGAGGATGTCTGATTCCTGCGCAGATGCGGTTGGTCAGGGACAGATGGAGCCCTGAGCCTAGAGCCAGGGGTGGGGGCGGGGGGTTCCGGACAGAGGGAGGAGGACAGAAGGGAGGCGGAGGGCGGTGTGAGCATTCCATGGACTCCGAGGAGCCGGATTCTAATCCTGATGCACCCGTAACAAGCCTCCTTTCCTTCTCTGTGCCTCGGTTTCCCCACCCACAACAAGAGATGCCCTCGAAGTCATAGTAGCGTTCCTGGGCCTGAGCCCTGCAGTGTGGACTCACTCCCCTGTGGCCTCTCACAGCGAGGAGGCTCCGAGGAAGCTCTGTTTGGTTCTTGCCCAGGGACGACGGCTCGGTGTGTTACTATCTTTAAAATAAACTCAAATGTTATCAGTAAGTTTGTTACAGTGATAACTTCCGAAGCCCAGTGATTCCTTAGGCTAAATGTTTAAGCTCGGTGTATAAGCCTTCTTCCTTCTTCCATAGGTAACAGGCACATTTTGATGACTCTCATTAAGGGGCTTGTGAATAATTCTCGTTCCATTGCTGACTTAGGAAATTTAAAGCATCATAACTGTCTAATGATGGGGGTCACGATTCCAGGGCAACACCCGGATAGGGGCTGTTGGTGGGTGGGGTTGGGCTTCTGGCTGTATCCCAGAGATGCCCGTCCCGAGGGCAGGTGTCAGGGGGCTGGGGCAATTTGATGTGATTCCTCCTCCCCTTCCCCTCCCCTCCCCCTCCCTCACGTCCCCCAGCCTGAAGATGCTGCAGTGGGGTCCACGGCCTCTCCTCTGTGCTCTTGGTGACATCCCTGTGGCCTGGCCACCCACACCCCTTCGCATTGTGGTTGGTCAGCAGCCACCTCCCTGCATCCTGGCCATGACTCTCCACAGCAGACACTCCCCCCCTCCCCTCCCCTTCTGCCCACCCTAGGCTTGCAGCCCACTGGGTGCAAATGATTGGTTGTCCAAACCCTGCGGCCTGGGACCTCCGTCCACCAGCTGCGGGGTCAGAGAGGGTGGCCGGGGCTTTCCCTAAAGACACAAACGGGCAGGCTGGCCCTTCTCCACCCAGGGCTGTGCAGTTTCTCCTGGGAAGTGTCCCGGCCAAGGGGAAGTGGAGCCCCTTAAACAGGATGCTTGCTCAGCAGGGCGCGCGGCTCTCCCGCCTCCCACTGGCGCCACAAGCCTCAGGAGGAAGTAGTCACCCGCGTGAGAAAAAGACCCGGAGGTAAAGGTGGGCGGCCGCGGCCTCAGAGCCAGGGGGCCCCTCGCGCGGCACGGACCGGAGCCATGGAGCGGGGCAGAGCCGCCACGGCTGCGGGACCCGTCGTCCCGGCCATCGTCGCCCTCCTGTGCACTGTGGCCTGGACTGCCGACACTTGTCCAGGTGAGTCGCACGCCGGGTGAGCAGGCCTGACGTTGATCCGGTCTGGAAACCGGCGGCCCCGCTCACCGACCCCACGGGCCGCGTCCGACCCGCGCTAAGCCCTCTGCCCACGGTCCTTCATTATTACAGCATGTTTTCAGCACCATTCTCCGGACAGGGAGCTGCCGGGCAGAGACATAGGGGCAGCCTGACCAGAGGGCACGTGCCGGCTGGACCCCAACCCCGGGCTGCTTCCCCTCCGGGCCTCGGGGTCTGCGTGCAGGGGTGACCGTCGGGTATCACGCGCAGGCACCGAAGGGAAAGGCAGAGGGCGAGAGTGCCGCCCAGGTCGGATCTGTGCCGCTGGCACCGGGCCTGCGGGACTTTCTGGCTCCGGGGACAGGTGAACCCCACTGTGTCGCTGAGGTGACAGCGAAAGGGAGACACCATCACAGGCCCCAGGTCACCTTTTCCGGGCCAGCAGCGAGGGAGTGCGCCAGCCCCCGTCCGTGGAAGGATCACTTCTTCATCGGCGGGACAGGAGACCCAGGAGCCGCTGCCTTTACTGCACGAAGCCGGGAGGGCAGGGCAGGGAAGACAATTGCCCCTGCGTGACCCTGGGGAAAGGTCTGGAACGAGCGAAGCCAGAAACACATGTGGCCCTTCACTAGAATGTCGCAGGACGCTCAATTTGCTTCCCTAATCAGGTCTTGCTTTCTAATTTGTCTAAAATTGCCACCTATTATTTTATAATGAGCAAAAACTAAGCAAATTTAAAAATGAAGCCTACACCTGTTCTGACCAACAAGGCGAGGACGGAGACGCCCCGTGACACGGCCGCCAGCGGCCGCCCTGCGGGAGCGGGTGATTTCCGTGCTCCCCGAGGAGCCGCTTGGGGGCATACTTTGGTTCTGGAATCCACACACCTGGCTGCCCGCAGTACAGAGTCTCTGCTCCCAGCTCTGCGAGCCGTTGCTCCGAGTCCCTCTCCAGCTCGGGATTGTGGGATCGCACGCCCAGGGTCTGGGGGGCATTTCGACATTGACCCAAATTCCCCAAGTGTCTTATAAACATCTATTGTCATTATGTATTCTAAGTCCCCAGTGATTATGGAGATCCTTCTAAACGCCGTGGCTCCCACTCAGATTTTAATCATTTGCGATGCCTAATGTGTCCTCCTTCCCCCCAACCCTATTCCTAGCCTCTTGGTGGCCCGAGGGCAGAAGCCCAGAGGGGTTGATGTCTTGCCCAAGGACACACAGCACTGAGGGGCTGTGCTTCCGCGGGTCAACGCAGGCTCCGAGGCCATCTCCTCCCCCCTGACCAGCACCCGTGGCAGGGCGGGTGGGGGAACAGACCACGTCTGCACCAGAGGCGGGAAGACCCTCCAGTGGCCCCCAGCAGTCTGCCCAGGCCCGAGGTCACCGCACGGGCAGGTCCTTGGATCGGGGAGCCTCTGAGCCCAGGTGCGGAGCCTGCCTGGCACGTTGTCTTTGCCGCAGAGGTGAAGGTGCTGGGTCTGGAGGACTCCGACAAGCTGACCATCCTCCGAGGCTGCCCGGGGCTGCCCGGGGACGCGGGGCCCAAGGGAGAGAGAGGTACGTGCACCCGGATCGGGCGGTGGGGGCGGGGCACCGAGCCCCTGCCCTTCTCCTTTCAGACCCTGGGGTGGGCAGGTCCCCACACATCTCTGGCCAGAGCTCTGGCCGCGGCCCTGCTCAGAACCAGATCAGACACCACCAGAAGGTCCATCAGACGCTGACATTTCTGTACGAGGGATCTGGTCTCCGAATGTTTTAGGAGCTCACATTTGGGGTACGGTTGACTCTTGAGCGCATGGGTTTGAACTACGCACCTCTGCTACTATGTGGATTTTTTGATAAATGCAGTCAGTCCAGTGCTGTGAGAACATTTCCTCTTCCTTATGATTCATGCTGACATTTTCTCTTCTGCGGCTCCCTATGTGGTAAGAGCACGGCGTATGTGCCCAGAACAGGCAGCGATGAGTCAGGCAACCGTTTGTGGGATCAGTGAGACTCAACGGTGGGCTCTTGGCAGTTACGTTTTGGGGGTCAGGAGTTCTACATGATTTTCTCCTGCACTGACGGGGTCGGCGCCCACCCCCCTGACTGTTGTTACGGGATGTCTGCTCCCTGGTCCCGGAGCCAGGACCGGCTCTCCAGGCCACGGGAAGAGAGCACTCTGGCCCCCACGTAGCTCCCCGATCTCGAGGCCACCACATTCTTCTATGTCTCCCTCAAATGAGGAACCTGAGGCACGCAGGGGCCAGCACCCTCCCCGAGTCCACCAGGAAAGGGGAGGGCGGGCGGGACGTGGGACAGGTGAAGGCGGCATGTGCGGGCACGCTGTGTGTGGGCGCCCCTCCCCCAGAGTGGGGGCCCTCCTGGCGTGGGGTCAACCCGAGCCTGCATAGAGGCATCGGCGCACCAGCAGCCCATCTGGGGCCTTGCTGAGGGGTGGGCGCCCCAAGGCTGGGGCGGTTAGGTGCATGCTGAAGGGCACTTGGTGGGGACACAGCTCTGGAGGCAGGGAAGCTGGGAGCCCCTCCGGCTCACATTCTAAGAGGTGTCCAGGCTCAGGGACCGTGTGGGTGCCCCGGTCAGCCCTGGGGACGGGAGGGCAGTGCCCGCTCAGCACCATGGGCTGGAGGGCAGGGTGTCTATCGGGGCAGCATGGAGGTGAAGAAGCAGCAAAGCGGCCCACCTCCCAGGGACCAGGCTTCCAGCAGCGGGAGCTTTACTCTGTCCCCAGGCTGGCCCGGCCCCGCCCCACCTGGCCGTGGCCCCACCCGGGGGCTGGGGAGCCCGTTGCTCGTGGTCCCGCTGTTTCTCTGAGCCCGGGCTGCCCCTCCCGGGCCCCTCACCAGCCACCTGAAGTGGCTTCAGGAGAGAGGAGGGCTCTGCTCTAGGTCCGGCCCACGGGGGGCCTCCTGGCATTGACCCCAGGTCCTGGGAGGCCACATGGCTCCGCTCCGGACATGGAGTCAGATCCTACATGGAGGGGGTCTTGCCGCCCCCGAACTCTACGGCATCGAGGGGCGGGGCTCAGCCGAGCCGACACACCCTGCAGGGCCTCACCGCAGGAGAGGCCGCCGCGTCCTGGGGACGCGTGTCAGGGTCTCGGAGGACGGGCCCATGTTCCAGCCCCCCCGAGACAGCGGGCTCTGGGGGGTGGCCCGGGCCTGGGCCCAGCACACGGGGGTCTGCGCAGGCAGGAATCGGTGGGGGCCCTGGGGCCCGGGCTCCGGGGGACGGGCTGGCCCCCACCCGTACGCCCGTGGCTGCTCTGTCACCGCGAGGCAGCCGTTCTGAGGATAACGGGGGCCGGGTGGGCCTTCCTACTTGGGGCAAAGATCTCAAGTGGGATTTGTGGCTGCCCTTTGCCCGTGATGCACGTGTCTTTGGAATTTGCAGGAGCTCCTGGTCCGGCTGGACCCCCTGGGAAGGCAGGGCCACCGGGGCCCAAAGGTAACATGATAGAGAGTGAAGACCCCTGGGGTGACTGTCCGTAGAGAAAGGAGAGAGGTACACAGACGGGGACGGGGACAGGGGGACGGGGACAGGGATGGGGGACAGGGGATGGGAGACGGGGACAGGGGACGGGGGACAGGGGATGGGGGACGGGGACAGGGGATGGGAGACGGGGACAGGGGATGGGGCACAGGGGACGGGGGATGGGGGACGGGGTAATTGGACCTGGTAATGGAGAGCCGACATCATTGCTGAATGTTGACACTTCACTTATTTTGCCTCGTGTTTACACTCATTTACGTGTCAAACACACTGACAAGCCAGGAAAGGCAACCTCACAAAACTCTGGGACGCTCTCACATGATCCGTGTGCGCACGGCCCCCGCGGCCCCAGCTTCCCAGGGGCAGAAGCTTGCCGGCCCGGCGACCAGGGCCCGTCTGGTCCTGCCCCACCGAGCACCTGGGGCCCCAACGAGATGGTCACGGGGACCCCAGGGGCCCCCACGGATGGGGCTGCCCCTCAGCCTGCGGGCCCCGCGCACCTTCTCCCAGAAAAGGACAGTGTCCCCATCCCTGGGACCCCACGGCTCTGCCCTGGACGTGTCCCTTCATGTCTCCATTCTGTACTCTGTCCTTGGAGCTCATGGGGCCGAAGGGACCGGGGCTTCCGTTTCCAGACTGTCACACGTGTGTCCTCTGCCCACAAACAGGAGAGCCAGGGTCGCCGCATTCCTGTGACACAGGTGACTGACTGCACCCCCGACCTCCGCACCTGAGCCGGGAAGGGCTTCCTGCTGGGGCAGCGGCAGAAGGGAGGCCGCCCCCGCCCCCGCCCCCCCCGCCCCGGTTCCTGAATCCAAGACCAAACACTCTGGGCCGCGTTTCCTCCCTTGGTCCCTCAGTAATAGGCGCCCGCCCCCCGCGACTTGGTCAGGAGGCGAAAATGCTCCCTCAGGCCAGGGGTCCGGGGGGCTATGGGGCAAGAGCAGCCCTGGGGGTAGGGATGGCCAGGTAGAGTGGGTTGACTGTCACCACTGGCTGGCCCGGGCCCCTGCACCCCTGCAGAAGCCCCCGTCCCCGCCCCCCTCCCCAGAGCTCCCTGGCCTCTGACACCAGGTCCCCGTCTATCCCCAGGCCCTCGGACCTGCAAGGATCTGCTCACGAGAGGGCGCTCTCTGAGCGGCTGGCACACCATCTACCTGCCTGACTGCCGGCCCCTGACCGTGCTGTGCGACATGGACACGGATGGCGGGGGCTGGACCGTGAGTGTGGGGGCCGCGGGGCGGCCCAGGGGTGCTCGCGGGGATGGGGCTCTGCCTGCAGGCGCACGGAGCACTTGCGTGCTTGCGGGGAGGACACTGTCCATGGCCTTTGTCACGTTGTCCATTGTCCCCATCAGGCTGACCCTTCCCTCCCAGCAAGGCCGGGGAGAACCAGATACCTGGGTGGGGGTGAGCCCCCACGGGAGGGGGTGGGGACTTCAGGGGCTGTGTGTCCTCGGGCTTCTCGCCCACCCTCTCTGTTCCTGTCACCTCCCCCCCCACACCTGTGGGCTCTGTCCACCCTGCGGTCTGCGATAACCCGGCCCCAGGCCATCTCCGTCCACAGGTTTTCCAGCGAAGGTGCGACGGCTCCGTGGACTTCTTTCGCGACTGGGCCGCGTATAAGCAGGGCTTCGGCAGCCAGCTGGGCGAGTTCTGGCTGGGAAATGACAACATCCACGCCCTGACCGCCCAGGGTAGGGCCTCGACTTCCCTGTGCCCCTGACCTGAGCCCTGGGCCCCCTGGAGCCGAGGACCTGGCCCCTCTTCCTGCGCGGGGTTCCCTCCAGGAGCAGGGGCCTCGACTCTGTGCCAGCCCGTGTGCCTGAGTTCTGCCTTCATCCCACAACGTTGGGTGGGACTTCAGAGCCCTGGTGACAGCCTCCTGCCAGCACGGTGACCCTGGTGTCTTCGATCCTAAGATAGGAGAGACCCAGAGGTTTCCAGGGGCTGCCTCCACCCCCAGCCCTAATGCTACTTCCTCTACCATTTCCCTTCCCCGGAGGTCCCTGCCAGGGGAAGAGCGATGTCCCTCAGCCCGGTCCTCTGTCCCGCTGTGCGGGTCTGGATGAGGACAGCGCCTGTGGCTTCCCGGCCCGCAGTGACTGCGTGTCCACCTCCCTGCCCGGTTCCCCCACCCGTCTCCTGAAACACGCATCCACGTCCACCCTGAACTTCCCGGTTTCCGCACTGGGCTGAGCGGCATCACTGCCCTCCAGGGATACTGCACATCGTGGGGGTGAAATAGTGCCAAGCCGCAGCCACACACCGAGGGGGAAGTAGATTCCCGTCCCTCCCATAGCCTAGGACCTTCTATAGGACGGTGCCAGAAACTTCCCCGCCTCGTCAAGCTCAGACACGCCCTAAAAGCCCACCTCTACTCCCTCCTCCCCATTGGACGGTCTCCCCTGTGGGGACCTTACGGCCTTTCCGTGACAGGGACCAGTGAGCTCCGTGTCGACCTCGTGGACTTCGACGGCAACCACAGATTCGCCAAGTACAGCTCGTTCAAGATGGCGGGCGAGGCCGACAAGTACAGGCTGGTCCTGGGGACCTTCGTCGACGGCAGCGCAGGTGAGCATCCCCCCTGGGCCACGTGGCCCGGGGCTCAGAGCAGAGAGCACCTGCTTCGCATCCGGGCTCTGCGTGACGTCGGGTGGTGGCGGTCATGCAAGGTTCCTTGTGCAAATACAGCGCACCCACACCTGATGGTTCCCATGAAGTGATGTGACACGTCTAGTAAAAAGTCCCACAAGAGGTGGTGTTATTTACTCCCTTAACGACAGGAAAAGGGCTCCATTGCTGTGCAGCTCATGTTGCCACCTGGTGCCTGGAGGTCTCTGTTGAGAAAGCTAGGACTCCCGAGGCAGCGGGCGGCCTCCCCTCCAAGACAAGGTGCTTGTCAGCTGTCAGGGCTGGACCAGAAGAGGGGGCGTCAGACAGCACGTGTTGTTGGCTGGCATCTCTTAGAGTTGTGCAGTGCGCTACTTGCACACCTGGACGTGGCAGCTCTTGCCTAGACCTGGGATCCAGGTACAACGGCCCCCTTTCCCCTCCGAGCAGGCGACTCCCTGTCGTACCACAACAACTACACCTTCTCCACCAAAGACCAGGACAATGATTCCAGTCCCCAAAACTGTGCCAGGCAGTACCTGGGAGCTTGGTGGTACCACGAGTGTCACCTGTCTAACCTCAACGGTCACTACCTCGGGGGCCCCCACAACAGCTTTGCCAACGGCATCAACTGGCACACGGGGAGAGGGTACAACTACAGCTATAAGGTGTCGGAGATGAAGGTGCGGCTCGCCTAGCGCAACGCCAGCAGCCCCTCCGGCCGGGACCCCGCGCACACGCACCGTGGCCAGAGGGACGGGCAAGGCAGCACGGGCTCAGGGTCCTCACCCTGCCTCGCGGGGCCTTCTCTGCTTTGTGCCTTTCGGGGACACTGACGCCCGGTGTCCCCTCCGCAGGGGTGAGAGAAAGTGACCCACGGGCTCTCACCTGCCACACAGTTTCTCAATAAAGACATTTGCTTCCTCGCTAAGAGCACGTGGGGTGGCCACGCCCGCCTTGTTCATCTGTTCGCGCCTCACCGCAACTGGGCAGGGAGGGCACCTGCTGGCCAAGGGGGTTTCTGGGAGTCTCAAGACCAGAGCCGGCGGACAGGGCTGGTGGCCACACCCGTGCGCCTCCGAGTTCCCATGGCCACTGTCAGACCGTGACCAAGATTCCTCATCGCCTGGCCAGCCCTGGCGGGAAGCTGTGGGCCGACCCCGGCTCAGAGGCGGCGTGGCCTGTCCAAGGTGCCAGCCCCCAGCCCCGCTCTCCCCACGAAGCTGCGCCGTCCTGACTCCTGGGTTCTCGCGGGACGAGGGCAGACGGCGCTTGAGCAGGGCAGGAGGCCAGCAGGGAGGGGACGGTGGCTTTGGCAGGGGAGCCTGTGTCAGCCAACGGGGTGCCCAGCCCTCCCCCCACTGCCGCCCCACATACCCCTAGGGGACCCCCGTCCCCAGCCTGGCCAGGGTGTCCCCATGTTGGCCAGCACATGGCCCTTGTGTTCGGGTCCCCCAAACACTGTGGCCACTGTGGCCCGGTCTACTTGGAGAGCATCTGGAAGAGTCCAAGGTGGATTCTCCCTTCCTTGTCCTGGGAATAGGGCTGAGCCGGTCTGAGAAGCACACAGCCCTTGGGGCACGTGGGGAGTCGGGGCCCCTTCGGGAAAGCACTCAGGGTTTCTGTCTGTCGCTGGAGGGTGCTGTGTAGCCTCTGCTCCGGCCTCAGGCTCCCTGACCGGCCCCTGCTCAGAGGCGAGCCCTGAACCGGGTGGAGGGGGGTACAGGACAGGTCTCCCCTGGACCAAGCCCCTGGTGGTGAGGATGACGCCCGTGCGCGGCTGTAAACCCGGAGCTGAGCCCTGACCCCGCAGCCCTAGAGACGGGGTCCTCCTGGGAATAATCTTCTTTCAGGAAGTCGTGATTTCAAAGACACCATTAAGTCTTGAGAGAGAGAAAAGCCGTGACCTCCTACGTGCCGTGGCATTGCTGTGGAAGGGCCACAAAAGACTATTAAACACAGAAGCACTTTTAGCCTGGCAAGCCAGAAATTCTTCTTCAGTGTTGTTTTAAAAAATCTGTTTAATGGAGAGATGGGCTAAGCGCTAAAAAAAGTAATTTTTATAAATATTTAATCTGAGCCTCCCGTGCTGCATTTATAAATGCTCTTGTGCTTTTAGGACTCGATAGGATTTTCAAAAGCACTTCTACAAATGCAGCCAAAGATATTTGGGAGAGGAGGGGGCTCGCGTAATCACCTAACGGCAGGACAGGGGTATTTGCGTTGTACGTGCTCACAAGCGCGCGGACACGCGGGGCTTCGGGAAGGTGTCACTGGCTGGGGCCTCCGAAGGGCTATTCGCCGTAGGACCAGAGGGCCCCACCCTCCGGGCGGCTGCCTCCCAGGAGCAGGGGCTGAGGCCAGATTGGAGCCTGGGCCACGGCCGGGCATGTCCGCTGGGCTGGACGGTGCCCTGCCCCCCCTTGCTGCTCCTCGAGGACTCAGGCCTGTGTGTGGGGAAGGGGCGGTGGCCTGTGGGGTCTGTGCACACACCCCTCAGATTCCCAGCTGTGGCTGTGACCTCCGTGGTTGTGGGAGGGCACGGGGTCGTTCCGGGAAGCCTAGCTTTGATGATCGGGAGTGACCCCTGCAGACTCGGGGAGCAATGAGCACCCCCGCAAGGTCAGGATGGTGCACCCGGAAGTCCCGGCTGTGGGGGGAGGGCAATCGTCCAATCCAGGCAGAGGGGGCGCCTGGCCGGCGCGCCCACGGAAACAGCCCTGAGCGCCTAAGAGGCGCTCCCGCCCCTGGGTTTCCAGCCCTGACGCCCCCTCCCCCCCCCCCACCGTGTGCCCTCTTACGCTCCTGGACGTCGTCCAGCTCCAGGCTGAGTCTTGCTGTCGTCTGCCCTGTGCCGTCCCTCTGGGGGGAGGCCCTTTCTGCCCTCCAGCGGGCTGAGCTTATGAACCTCCCATCTTCTCGCTCAGGGGCTCTGGGACCCTTGGGCTCCAGCATCCCACCCCCGTCCTGTCTTCAAGTCCGGCACATGCTGGGGGCCTGGCCCGGGGCTCTGTGGGGCCCCCTGCCCTGGTCACCTGTCACCACATGCTTGTGGAGCCCAGGCTGGCCACCCGGTGCTGTCCGCAAGTGCTGGGGTTCGCGCCTCCCAAGGTCAGGGTCCCCGAGTGGAGCTCCTCCCTCACGAACAAGCTAGTCTTTGTTTCACTGGGGAAGTGACAGGGCTCTGTGTACACACGGACCCGGGGCTCCCTGGGCCTGGTCAGGTCCAGGCTGTGTGACTTTGGGCGAGTCCCTCAACCTCTCTGAGTTCTCTCTCGTGACTGAGGATAACGGGGTGGATCTGAGGACTCCAGAGCAAGGATGGTGCACGCAGTCTGGGTCAACGATAGACCAAGGGGCCAGTGACCATGGGCGCTGGTCTCACCCCGTCCCCCTGCACCCGCCCCCCCCCCGGCTCCAAGGATCCACCACCCTCCCTGGCCTGGCCGCCGTGCCCGAGTCTGACCCGAGTTTGTTCCGCTGTTTCACAACTTGGGAGGAGGAACCCCTTGGATTCCAGGTCACTGTTTCGAACTGAAGCACCCTGGCTCACCCCTCCCTTCCTTCGGGCCCCCTGCCCTCTGGCAGCTGAGCAGGGTCCCGGCTGTTGTGCTGAGGGTGTGGGGGCTCTGGGTGTGTGCCCCAGGATCGGAGGGCCGTGCCACCTCCAGCGGTCAGGGCTCAGACACAGGCTCTGCGGGCCCCCAGCACGGTCCAGTCCTAAAGGCCCTGGGGACACAGCGTCCAGCCTGTGACACCTTCAGGGGCCTACAAAACTTTGCTTTTTAATTTCTTTTATTTATTTATTTATTTATTTATTTATTTATTTATTTATTTAATGTTTTATTTATTTCTGAGAGAGAGAGAGGCAGCGTGAGCAGGGGAGGGTCAGAGAGAGAGGGAGTCACAGAATCTGAAGCAGATCCAGTCTCCAAGCTGTCAGCACAGAGCCCGACGCTGGGCTCGAACCCACGAACCGCGAGATGATGACCTGAGCCAAAGTTGGATGCTTAACCGCCTGAGCCACCCAGGCGCCCCTAATTTCTTTTAGAATCAGAACAAAATGAGTGAGATTTGGCCCAGCCTATATATGTCTTTGAGCCTCCACAGTTGTGAAGTTTGATTTTTTGTATTTTCTATGGAAGAAGGGACTCAGAGAGGTGGAAGTGCTCAGGGCCCCAGAGGGGAGCCCCCCCAGAGCCGCCCCAGTGGGCGGGGTGGCTGCTGCAGCCCCTCCCCCCAGTCAGCTGTCAGAAGGAAGCTGTGTGTCTTCGCTGTCCCAAGTTCCGAAGGTGACCTGGTTTCTTGGCTGGCCCTCGAGATCTTACCCGTCCCACGCCCCTTCCCCTGCCCCCCAGGCGTCCGCAGCCTCTCTGGGCACCCACGGCCCGGAAGGCAATGTCTGGAGAGGCTGAGCCGTGTCTTGGCCCAGCGCAAGCTCGGCGTGCTACCTTACCCACAGTCCCTGCTGTTGCACCCACAGGGACGGCGGGCAGGCAGCAGGCCTGTCTTGCGGCACAGAGGGGGACCCTCCCCCCAGCTTCACATCCACTGAGGAAGGGGCGTCAACACCACCCGGAGGCCCCGTGGAAGACCAGTGGCCCAGGACCCACACTGTCCAAGGAAGGGCAGACGGGGAGGCCCGGAGAGCCGGCCCTGGCGGGGTGGGGTCCTCTCCCGGCCAAGTGTCAGAGAAGGGAGTGCCTGTGACTTGTGGGCCATGGGACGGGGCCTTCCCAGCAACGACCCGCATCTCTGAGGGCGCGTGGGACCGTGGCTTCCTCACCCGAAGCCCTCATCCGGGGGGAGACGGGATGCAGCTGGGCCTCTGCACCCCTTTCCAGGGAGACCTTAGAAGTGGACAAGGATGCCTTCCGCCTGGTGCAAACACAGGTCTCTCTCCACCTTCCTCCACTTGGCCTCTTCTGCCCCCGGCGAGGTGACCGTGGTCCTCCATGGGGTGCCCGCCAGCAATGGTGAGCCACCCAGAGGGCAGGGCAGTCTTGTGGGGTGTCTGGGGAAGAACGGGGACACATCGTGCTCCCAGAACCCCCCCAGGCAGGTGCAGCCATGGGCAGAGGGGTGCGGGATGGTCAGAGGCTCCTCAAACACCAGCCCAGGGCAGGGAGGTGGGGAGTCGGTCCTCGAAAGCTCCCAGGGCTGAGGTGGGTTGGTCACCAGCTGGCCTGTCACCCTCACTAACGTCTCTCCCTCGTTCTGTCCTTTGACCCCACGCTGCAGCCTCCTCTCTATTGCAATGCGTTCCATGGCTTTTTGTTTCTTTTATTTTAACCGTGTTTTTGCAAAGTGCATTTGTGTGTGTAGTTTTAACTTAGGTCAATGGCATTTCTTGCATCGCTTTCTGCTTTCTGCTTTCTGCACGGGGCTGGCATTGTGCATGTGTGTGCGTGTATGACCTTTAGGAACATCTGTCCTGGTGCAAACCCTTACTTAGTCCCTGGTCCTCAACCACCAAGTCACACTCGGAGCTGCGCCCGGCATCTCTGACTTGTCCGCGTTTCCCGCGTGGCCGCCCAGGAGGCTTCGGCCCCGCCTCCACCTCCACACCCCAGCTGCAGGCAGGCCCTCCGGGGACCTGTGCTCCCATCAGAGTGGGGCTTCGGGGTTCAGCGCCCACAGATCCTGCGGTTGCCTGAGTAACACTGGACACTTGTTCAGAATGGCTGTCCCTCCCCAGCGACTCTCGCCCTCTCCGCTGTGTGTCTGGGGCCGGGGGGAGAGGGGGTGGTGGTGGGGAGCCACTGAGTCAGCTTCCAGGCTTCAAGGCTTTCCTCCTACGGAAGCCCCCCCTCCATCATCTTAACTGATTTTTCACTCTTAGGGTCACTACCTTCTCCTTGCACTTGGCACACCTTAATCACCTGTTGATTTAAGACACTGCAAACATCTTCCGTTCCATCAGCTCTCTGC